CTTCAGGTGAGTTATTCCTAGAGTTCTAGCTATGGATCTTGGATGGGATTAGGGTTGAGGTATAGGTTGTTATGTTTTGGGGTGCTAGGGGGGGGTGCATGGTTAGAAAATGGAAATGGTCATCACTAACTTAAACCCTCTACCCTAAAGCTCCTAAAGTCCTAAAGTCCCAGAGTCCTAAAGCCCCTAAAGTCCTAAAAGAGCAATCGCACCCTAAACCCTAAACCCTAACCTAAACCCTAAACCCAAAACCAAGCCCCGAGGCGCTTCGCCGGCACTGCCGCGCCTGGAGTTCCGAAGCGGCACAGGGTGCCCAGGCGGGGCTTTCGAGGGCTTTTAAAGGTTTCAGGGTGTTCTAGGGGTTTAAGGGTGTTTAGGGTTTCTAGGGATTTTAGGGTTTCGGGTGTTTTAGGGTTTGTAGGGGTTTTAGGGTTTTACGGTTTCTAAGGATTTTAGGGTTTTTGGGGGTTCTAGGGGTTCTAGGGGTTTAAGGGTTTAGGGTTTCTAGGGGTTTTAGGTTCTTTTTGGGTTTTTAAGGTTTAGGGCTCAGGGGTTTAGGGTGTGTAGGGTTCAGAGGGTCTGGGGAGGGTTTAGGGTTTAGGGGTTTAGGGTTGCCATTCTGTCTGCTTTTGTTGTTTTGTTGGGGAGGTCGAGGGGGCTTTGTTTTGGATAGGAGTTTGATCACGCCGGGTTTAGCCTGGGTTCTTGTTAAGGGATCTAATTTATGTCACCATATTTGGGATCGATAATAAATAATATGGTTTCTTTATCATGGTAGCCTAAACTAAATCCCTGAACAAGATCCCAGCAGCGATTGGGCTGCTTCCAGCTTTGGACCCCTGCGGGGCATCTTGGGAAGTTTGAGTCCTGGGCTTCTTCGTCGGGTCTCGGGTCGATGCAGTAGGCCCTAAGCCCTAAAACCCTAAGCCCTAAGCCCTAAACCCTAAACCCCAAACCCTAAAACCCTAAGCTAGGGTGTATTCATGAGCTCAGGGGTTTTGTAAGCTTTATCTAGGGTCCAGGGTTTAGGAGTTTGGTTCTGTGATGGAGTTTAGGTTTTGGGTTTTACGTCATGAGTTGTGACGGGTTAAGGCCCTCTTATTGGGTTCGAAGGATTCGGAAGAGCAATCTTGCGTTGTAGTCCTGATAGAATGCTACTCTGACCGACCCGAAAGCCCTTTCTGATTCTTTAAAGATTCAGCTTCTCCTATGAGTCTTCCAGTTTAAAGCCTTTCGCAGCTCGGCTCGAGCTTTGTTCCTTCGTCGAAGTTCCCTGACAAGGAGGGGACGAAAAGATGCCAGGGAAGTTTAACCCCGGGCTACTCCCCGGGGAGCATGGGCCCAGCAAGGGCACCTTGCTAGGAGATGGGGAGGTGAGCCATTATGGCTCCACTCCTCTGCCGCAGAGAGGGAGGTCGCTAGGGACCGGGACGATCTTTGCATGCTTCTTGGGTGTAGCCTCGTGCTTGGGGGAGGCAGAGGCTAGCTCAGAGGAAGTTTGCCAAAAGGGTCTCGGAACACTCTCATTGGCATGGCTGGCCCTGATGGAGCTGGCTTTGGACCTTCACATGTGGTTGAATAGCATTGTCACAGGCGCCACGAGCCTCCTGGCAGATGGAATTTCAGCGTGTCAGGCTTTTGAGGCCTGCCCGTTGTCGAAGCGCTTCGAGGGCAAGACCTTGCACGATGCTGTGCCAATGGTGACAGTGTTGATGATGATGGGCATTCTCTACTTTGTCTTCTTCTTGTGCTGCCTTCGTACGAATCCTGCTTGCGATCTTAGCACGCAGATGTGCTGCCTTTTCCACGCTTCCTTCTTGATGGCGCTAGTGTCTTACCATCAAGCAGTCGTTACAGATCCCGGTAGAGTTCCCGAATCTTGGCGCGAGGGGCCAGGGACCAAAGAACGGCTTGCCTGCATGATCTTTGAGCGGAAGAAGTCCACCGGCGACATGCGCTTTTGCAGCAAGGAAATGACGCTTGGATATTGTTCAGATTTAGGGGGTTTGGGTTGAGGGTTAAGGGCCAGGTAAGGGTATAGGATTTAGAGTCTAGGGTTGAGGGTTAAGGGTGTGGGTTTAGGGTGAAGTGGTGTAGAACACTGTAGAAGCGGTGACTCCAAACAAGCGGCTTATGTTCATCGCGTTTGTGGAAGAGCCCAGGAAGTACAAGCCAGACAGATCGCACTTTTGTTCCAACGTGCAGCGGAATGTGCTTCGCATGGACCACTATTGCCCATGGATGGGCAATTGCATTGGTTTTGCGAACTACAAGTATTTCCTGCTGTTCCTGCTGCTAGGATTTTTTTTAGAACATACACTTCAGTTTTTAGTATATTCAATAAGTTAGTAACTTACAAGTACATAAATAAACAAAGAAATTCTCTCTTGCACACACACACACATGCATATATATATATGTATGTATATACATATGTATATGTGTTTTTCAATTTCGATTTACATGTAATACACAGTCAATCTTTATGCTCATACATACGAACAAATATAAAAGTCAGTATATATATATGTATATATATATATGTATATATATATATATGTATATATATATATTGGATACATGCGTATGTCTGTTCAATGTTTTCAGTTTTAGGAAGGAGCCAAAGATCACAGTTTGGAACAGCCCAGGCTTTACACAGTCATCTGCACCGACTCGGTCTTCGGGCTTGCCATGACAGCCATTTGGGCGGGCGCGTTGGTACCTGGGACCGCAGCATTTGTGTTGGAAAGCTTAGCATTGTCTGGCCTGCTCGGGCTTTGCCTGTCACCCTTCCTCGTATTTCATCTGTGGATGCTCTGCAAGAACATGACGACCATCGAGTTCTGCGAACAGTTGGGGCGGGGCCAATACATCTCCCCCTATGATCTGGGAGCTTTCGCCAATATTCAGAGTGTTCTGGGTCGTAACATGCTCTTCTGGCTTCTTCCGATCTACTCCACTCCGGGAGATGGACTGAGGTGGCAGCGGTCTTGCAGAAATTTTGTTGAACCGGCAAAGAAGGCGGCAAGCATGCAGAGACCGTGATGTCCTGTCGGCCCCAAGCCCTAAGCCCTAAGCCTCACCAGCTTTCCACTCTATCTACAGCAGGCCTGCGTGCCGCCAGAATGTAATGACATGCCAGAATTCGGAAGGATTGGCAGAGGTGCCCCGGATGTATGATACATGCACGATTTGGACAGAGACGGCCCATGGTCTCGGCGTGGCTGAAATCATGCAAGTCACCCCTTTGCAGAGTATGGGTTGCCTTTATGAGCCTCACGGCCTGTGCATCCCTTAGGGGGGGCAAGGGAAAGGGGGGGGGAGGGTCCTTATGAAACCCCTCGCGTCTTGCCGCTTGAAAAATCGTTCAAGCTAATTACCAACTTTTAGGTTGAGGCCCCACGTTAGCACTATATTAAATCCGAAGTTCGTCCAACCCGAACTTCCCCAGCCTCACTTCATATGGGGTTTCTGAGAAGTAAGGGACTAAGGTTTAGGGTTTAAGGTTCAGGGAGTCCTTAAGCAAAAAAAGGTACCTTTCGGGGTCCTGTTGTAAGGATGCCGTACTACATTGGGGACCTAAAGAGAACTACTCATTTAATTTCTGAGACTCCCCATTTCATCTGCAGATCAAGGTGGTGCTCAAGATTCGGCTCCAGTTTTCTGATAGAGTACGCCACTGGTATACTACGGACTGCAAAAGGCACCCTCAACCCGCGATCCCTAAACCCTAAAGCAAAACTCCTCATGGTTTGCTTAGGTACTTGTAGTACAGAGCCCCGCGCAACCCTGGTCTAAATCATTCGGGCTTTATGTTAGGGAGTTTGCTCCATTCACAACGTCTCTCAACGCTTGCCTGCAGGAGACGCTCTCAGCGCGACTGCAGGAGGCAGGGTACGGTAGGTTCAATGGCGACGAGCATTATGCGTCAGCAGTATCATGGGTAATCTATCTGCTTTTTGGTGCAGTTAGCTCTTGAAGTTGTGCGATGCCGCTGTCGTTGTGACCGTTTCGCCTCTTAGGATAGGACTCGAGGATCCAAGAATACTAGGCTCTAAAGACCTCCCCCAGCCAAGGCCGTGAGCCCTAAACCCTAAACCCTAAACCTAAGGCCCTAAGACGCTCAAGAATCCCAAAGACAAGGCACTACCTAAGCTTCCACCCTAAGCCCCGCCATGATTCTAAGGAAGTGGGGGAGGCCCTTTGCTCGAAGGGTCAGGGGACTTGGTAGGTGTGGGGGTTGGTACACCTCTTTAGTGGGATTTTTTGGGGGCCCCTGAGCGGGGTTTCGAAAGGTCTCGTCACAACAAAATGGACTGACGATCGCGGGGCGTTCCTGTTGATGATATAACTCCTGCATTACCTTAAGGACCCTAAACTATGGGAAGTATGTTACATTCTTGACTATGGGTATAACCGTAGTATGCAAAAGGGGGTTCTAAGGTTGGGGTGGTAGGTGGGCAGCCAGGACAAGGGGATTTTCATTCCAACTATGCCCCTAATACTGCAGGATTCCGACAAATCATATCCGGGGAACCCGAGTGAAGTCCTTAGCTTCAATGTGTCAAGGCTCTTGATAGGTTTTGGTGTCTTTTTTTGGGGGTTTCTACGGTTTTGGCGCACGCCGAGAGGTAGCTGATGCGACTGGAGATTTTCGGGATTTTTGGGTTATGTCAAGCGCGTGACTAGCTGCTAGAGGTATGAGTCCCCTACTTGGCACTACCCTGCTCATGATCCGACGTAGAAGCTGCGAAGTAATTCCACTGATCCTAATGCCTGAAAAACCCTAAACCCTAAACGCTAAGCCGGTACTACATTTTTACATGTAACGCCCCTGTTTCCCGACGTTGACTACCATGGGCACAGGTCGACTAATTAGGTCATCAACGGATTACCATTCTGAGTCCCCCATCTCTCATTGCATCCCTACATCCCTAAGCCCCCAAACCCTAACCCCGAAACCCCTAAACCTCAAATACATCTCGAAGAGGCCTCAGGCGTTTTGTACAACATAGTACATTTTGTTCTCGATTATAGCATCTTCTAGTTTTTTAAGTATATTCAAGTATGCTATAGTATATGATAGTATACCACAGTATACTATCGTATACTATAGTGTACTATAGTGTACTATAGTGTACTATAGTATGCTATAGTATACTGTGGTATACTATAGTATACTATAGTATACCATGGTATAATTATAGCGGTATAGTAGATTATTGTATCTTCGTAATATATGAGCTAGGACATCAGCCGCCGTCTGCGAATTCCTATAGTGACCCTACAGCGTAAACATGGAATTATAATAGCATATTAATACTATAATAGTACTATGATACTCGGGCACGACCAAATCTCTCAGGTCTTCAAGCTGGCCAGCCTTCAAATCGGATGTATCGGTACTCGGATGCTTGTCAAGATTGAAGAATACAAGTTGACTAGCTATTGGAGAGTAGACCTTGCATTGCTGCCCAAGCTTCTATGAATAGGGACTTGCTTGATGAGAACAGGGTTTGGGGGGGGGACATGATACGTGATGAATTATGTCTAGGAGCCTCTCAGGGATTGTCTGGGCAAATTGTTCAGGCCCGAATGGCTCAAGCTACAGTGCTCCCTAAACCCTAAACCTGCTGCCCTAGGCTGGATGATAGCTTGCACAAGTCTGAGTGAACCTGAACTCACCGGATCCTGCTTCGAAAGCAAATTGCTCAAATGGTTTACGGTGTACCTGGAGGGTCATACCCTACCCCGGTTTTTAGGGCTTTCTAGTCTTACGGTTAGGATCTGCTATATAGAAAAGTAGGTATGCTAAGAAAGAGGGTAGGGTATGACATATAACCCCCCCCGATCATATAGTATGTCCTCCAAGTCGTCCCTATATAGATAGTTTAGGGCCCAAGTATGCTCATATGAGTAGTTCTCTAAACTAGGGTCCCGCTTTAGGTCCTCAAAATAGTGTGGCACCCGTTTTAAAAAGGGCTCTCAAAGGGACCCTGATTTGATGGATACATGGACCCTTAGGGTAGGGTCAAGAGTCTCCTCACGCAGAGTCTTATCGGGCGACATGTCTGGCTGCTCCTCAGTGCTGCATAATGTCAGACTCCAGGGAACCATTATGAATCAGATAAGGGCCTTGCAAATTTGGGTAGGGTTTTGTGGAAAACTGGACTAAAACTATACTGAGGAACGCTTACATGGTATTTGTCAAAAGTTAGGCCCCTATATGAATTGAATGGAATGCGAGGCCCGACTAAAGGCATGCCCAAAAACCTAGGCTGCCTAGGTAACACAAACACGTGCAACGTGGACGCATGCCAAGATAAGACATTAGCATGCCAGCTGTTCCGGGCTAGATAATTACTGTCGTAAAGGAATGATTGTTCGGCAGGAACTACACACTCACGCAGGCACACACACACACACACGCACACACACACGCACGCACCCACGCACCCACGCGCACGCACGCACACACACACACAGACACACACACACACACACACACACCCACGCACGCATGCACGCATGCACGCACGCGCACGCGCACGCACGCGCACGCAC